AAAAAAAAAAAAAAAAAAAAAATCAGTCAATTTGTAAGAGGCAGAGGGATTTCTTGGCTATTTCTGGATCAATTCTATATAGCTGGGAAGAGATATTAGACAAGTTTTTAAGCAAAAAGTGCCCAACATGAGGACTGCCATAGTTAGGAGCTTGCCTAACATCTCTCCTAACTATGCAGTTGGTTCAGTAAGAAAGTCCTGCTTTTTGTTTATTTCTTAGACCAGCATAGTTGCAGCATTCTAACCCTACCATAGTTAACAGTCATTCCAAACAATACAGTTTGAGGTAACAGGTAAACAGCTTGCTTGGATAGCAGTGACCATCATTGTTTCTTCAAGTTAAAAAAACCCTAGTATGAACATCAGAAAAGCTCCATAATACCTTGTCCTTAGAATAACAGATTAGAGAGATGCCATTTGCAGATTTTATTGATGGTGAACACCAAGAGCAATATCTCATTTACTTAGCAAGGAAGTTGTAGTCATAATTTTTCTAAGGAATCTGTAGACTTACATGAATAAATACAACCTGCAGGCTTCTTGCCAAAACAATATTCAGTGTTGCAGAGACCAAGTATTATACTATCAGGTACAAAGCAATATTATTTTAATGGCATAATTATCTGAAAGCATCAAAGCTCTTTCCATTGAAGTGACAACACCTCTCCCTTCTATAGGCAACTGGCTGCAAACTTGTTCTGTCACCCAGACAATGCAAATCAGGAGATCTACATGTTTGAGATAAAAAAAATTTGCACTCAAAAGTTTAAGTCACTCCAATTCCCCCCCCCAATTTTATCTACAAGGTTAACTTTATCTACAAGACTACCTGGTACAGGTAAGGACTTATGAGAGTCAAATTTCCTGCAATGAAAATGAAAGCAGCAACAGGACTAATACACTCTGTTATAAGAAATTCTATAGTACAACCATTGTGCAGAAGATTATATTACACACAAAATCACACAACCCAAATTCTTTCCAAAGAAAAAGCTATAAAATCTGAGGTCAATTAAACAACTAAAGCCCTCCCCTCCCCCTCCATTCTTCCAAACTTGATGCCCCCTAGTTTCAGCTTCCTGTGTCGGGAAACCCAAATAAATAATGCTCAAACTTAGCACTAACTAGAAATATCACTATTGCTCCATTTCACTACTACCACTGTGTTAAAATTGTAGCTTTCAGTCTCCAGACTATGCTGTATCCTTTCTGATATCACCTAATTACTGGGTTAAGACTACTGTAACTTAAAAATAAACTGGCTTAAATGCATGCTACAGTGCAGTTTGATGTATGCCAGATCTGAAGGGATAAGTCTCTCTGAGGCATAAAAAAAGAAGACCACTCAAGACATGCATCTTACAACTTGTTCCTGTGCCACCCACAAACAGGTCCTTTGTTATGGTCTAATAAGCTCAAAAGGAAGATAGGTCATCCCCAAAGATTGTCCTTGCTAAAACCAATGGACTGTCTGAGCTCTCATCCAGCAGCATAATTAACAGCACAGCCCTCACCTCCCCCACCCCATATTCCGAGAATACATTTTTGGAACAGGGGAGGTGAATGGCATTCATTGGATTTAACTACAAACCTTGTCATAGCCCTCCAGTTCTCTGAGCTTCTTGATTTCAAAGAGATTGCCCTCAACTGCAAGCAGTGAGATTTGGGAATCACTGAGGATGCTCTGAGGAAGCATGCTGAGTTCTAGACAGTTCTCTTCTAAACGCAGAACCTTGAGTCGTGGACAGTGAGAGATCTGCACAGAAATTTGGGAAATCTGTTGGGTAGCAAAGGAGAGAGTGAAAGAAGTTTAAATTAAATACTGTTAATTAATTATTTACTTGTATACCAAGCAGTGTTTTGCAAACTATTATTTAACAATCTGATATTGAATTATCTAAATACAAGCCACACCAACAGTGCTACTGCTTATTCTATAGACCAGTAGTTCTCAATGCTTTTAGACTCAAGGAACCCTCAAAATGTCAGCTCTTAGTTTTCATTTCATTTTTGACTACAGAAAAAAAAATATTAAAACAACTCTTCTCTTGCAAGGAATTTAGAAAGACCTCAACAGATCAGAAAGTTAACACTGTGGACTCTTATTTGAAATATCTGGGTTTAATCTCATGATTATGTTTGTATATCTTGCACTGCTAACATTGCATGGCACCTTGCAGCACCCATAAAAAGATCTGAGGGCACTCTGGGGTGCTGTGGTACCCTGATTGAGAATCACGGCTATAGATTAACTGGGGTAATGAGATAAACTAAGAATCTCCTATTTTCCTGACTTTCCTAGTTCTGTTGACAGCTCAAATTAAATGTTTTTATTTTTAAAGGGCCTGTTATGCTTTTTTAATTGAACCATAAGAGCAAGACTGAATATTTCTAAAATAAAGAACCTAACAACAAAGCTTACCTTTTATTTCTAATACTGTCCTCATGTGACAATGATAACACTATTCCAAATCAACTTGGCGTCTGGCAAGTTAAACAGCCAAAGAATCCAGAAGTTCTACACAGTCAGTAAACACTTAAATCCTTCTATTCCAAGCTTCATTCACCATGGAATTTTCTGAACCTCAAACCACCACTATCTGGATACCCTTCCCAAAACAGGGACCTACTAAGAAACAAAGATAAAAGGCTAAATGGATTGGTGGAGTGGAAGAACACAATGGGGGGTGTCCAAATTATTTTTCTCATAAGGTAACTATCTGCTCTTCTTGAAGAAAAAATATTGTATAGAAAACTTGTCCTTTAAGAAAGGCCATTCTTACAATCCTGCAGTCAAACCAGGCAGTAAGAGATATCAGATCCTTCCTTGTGCCCACCTACACTACCATACTTAAAACAAAAAAGCAATTCTTTCACCCTAGAACCTCCGAGTATCCCATTTTCTGATTTGTAGGGAACACTTGCTCTTTAAGAATGAAATAATCATGCTTCAAGTCCACATGCCTATCAACCCTCAGTTTCCAGACCTGGTTCTGATTCAAATTGAGTTCAATGGCCTGCAGTTCCTCTACTGCATCTGGCACACTCTGGATCTGGTTTTTGGATAGATCCACCACATCCAAATGACGAAGACTGCACAACTGGGTGGGCACAGTCCGAAGCTGATTTCCAGAAAGGCTCAGGGTCTTGAGAGCTGAGAGTTGTCCAAAGCCAGCTGGCAGCCGTCTCAGGTGATTGCCATTCAGGTGCAACGTGTCTAGCTTTTTCAGTTTACACAGCTCCTCAGGTAGAGCAGCTAGAAATAAATTATGAACAACCTAAGCAACTAGAAAAAAACAAGTGTCCATATTTAAAAACAGCCAGGACTAGCATTGCTATATTCCACACAAGAGTATTCTGATAGGATTTTATACCATAGGTTTTTAAGGCCTGGCTAGACAAAACCTTGGCTGGGATGACCTAGTTGGAGATGATCCTGCTTTAAGCAGGAGGTTTGACTAGATGGCCTCCTGAAGTCCCTTGCAACCCTCATTTTCTATGATTTTAATATAAAATTATTCTCATGATTAAGCCAATTGGCTAATGTATTCTAAGAAATGTACAGTAAATTTAGAAGTAAAATATGAGTTTAGTTTTTCCCATCCCATGTTAATTTGATTAAGAGATGAGGCAGAGCACCTGGCATCCATTAAAACAAAACAAAACAAAACAAAACAAAACACACACTTTAGTTTTATCACTCATCCAAAACAACCCTAGCACCTCTGGCAGAGAGCCTAGCTGGTAGCTGCTTGAAGTCTGCATGACACTTGCCCAAGAGAGAGACTTATTGAACTACCAAAACTGTTTTCTGTACTACATCCTCATCAAATATTTTCTATGCAAGTATGCAACCAGATTCTGTGCTGTGAACTGTCTGATCTGAAAACCAAGCAATGTGATATGTTTTAAAGTACTTACATGATACTGCAAAGTGATAATTTAAGAGTTCTCAACTAGTTTGTCACAAATCTAATTTTCCGATTGTAAATTCCAACAACTTTTAGTATAAATGACCAAAGATCCCCTTTACATTTTGTCATCAAATTTAACTTCTGATCAACAATAGAGATATTCTGGTTCATTATGCTTTTAGAAACCCGTTAAGTTATTAATTAGTTGTCATACTCAGTTTGTTGTTGTTTAGAGAAAGACTCTTCAGAACCGAAAATTTTCCTATCACTGGTGTCAAGAGCTCAATTTTGTTGCTCGACAAATCTATTGTTCTCAAGTTGCTTGCTAGCTTCTGCAGGTCTTCAGGAAACTGGGTGGGAAAATACAAAGGAAAGAACAAATAAATAAATAAATAAATAAAAGAGAGACAGAGTTGAGATACAGCCTTTAAAACAACTAGTATTACATCACACCAGACAGTGTAATTTCATGCGTAAGTCTTTCAGCTATTTACATTTTGGTATTAATTTTTTAGTAGAATAATCGTGTGAACTAATACCACAGAAAGTGATAGTTATCAAATTCAATCCAAAACAGATTTTAAAAGATAATTTTGCATTTGACTATCTCTGAGAAAGGCAGACATTTTACAAACTCCTAGAAAAAATCAACTCCTAGCTCGGACAACGTGGGATGATACAGTACACTATGGTTATAAAAACTCAAAACATTTCCTTTGTGGGTTTTCCTTATTGTGCCCGATTTTAAATAAAGTATGGCCAATTGATTACTTCATCATTTTTAACATGACAGGAGCAAAAAAACCTTCTCTCTCCTACTAGTTTCTTCCCTCCACCATCAAGTAAACATATAAACAAAAACAAAAATTTTCTTCCATCTTGCCACTATCCTTGCCTAAGTGGAATCCACTTCTTTTTACTTTCATCCCTGACCACTTCAGACCACATCTGGCATAACTGTTTTTAATAAGCCAATATAGCAAGAACCATCAAATGTCTCCATACAGCTTAATCCATGAGATGATGTTCTGGTCTCCTACTACACTTGATCTGAGCCTTCAAGAGGCCGAGAAGCAATGGAAACACACAAACCTTTAGAAGAGTTTAAATGCAGGTTAAACCTAAAACAGATAGATGTACGTTCCAGTTTAAACTAATTTAAATTTGCTGGAAATAGTTCAAAAGTGTACCTGGAAAAATTGAGCACTATTTAAAACTGGTTCAGTGTTACGTGTGGACATCAAGCATTCTGTGATATGGGTCTGGTCAGTCAAGTATCCCACAGTGCATTGCTCCCCCCCTCCCCCCACACTGTTGCAACTGGCCACTCTAGTATGTGGCTACATCCCCTTTTCCCCCCTTTTGTTGGCACTTTTTAATCAATCAATGAGCTCCCTTACACTGTATGTTCAATAAAACTATTTTTCTGGCAACCAGCTGTGCCCTCACTCCCTACTCAGCCACAGCCTGTCATCATGCCTCTGACCCCTCCAAAAGCACTTTCCCAGGATGTCACTTTTCTGCTTTCCATTGTTTCCTAAGCATGAGTTCAATTAACTTCAGTAGTCTGTGTAAGAAACAAAAGAAAGCAGAAGAGTGACAATGCTCACAGCCACAGATCACTTACTCCTGAGACACCTAAATGGGTGCAAGCACTCCTCCCCAGTTCATCATCTACTGAGAGACATGCTGGGCTGGGTGCTCACTCCCACCCCGTCATGTTCAAGCCACAATACTTCACATACCCATGAACCAGCTCCCAATCAGTGACATCTGGGACCAATTCAATTGTTACACGTCCTGCAACAATTGTGGGTCCCCAAACAGTGACATTTTGGAAAGGTTCGACTGTTCTGCTTGTTTGCATCCACAGTTATAAGCAGGCGTGCACATAGATTTTTGCAGCCGATACCGATAGCCAATTTTTAAGGATGCATATCGGCCAATACTGATCCGATTTCCGATACTCAGCCCAGCAGCGTGGAGAGCTGCCTCCAGCTGGTAAGTCTGGTGTGGTGGAAGGAGAAGGGGGAGGGGAGGGGCATGGGGGGGCAGATCAAGGTCCCCACAGTGAGGGAGGAGTAGGGCTGGGGCTGGGTCAAGCACTGTCCAGCCAGGGCGGGGCAGGCAGGGCAGCGCCAAAGCCGCAGCTCATCCGACAGGCACAGCTCTGTCCCACGCCCACTCCCCCCTGGCTGGACAGCGCCTACCCAGCCCCACTCTTCCCTCACCATGGGAGGCGTTGATCTGCCCCTTCCACTGCAGCTGCGTGCGCACACAGGCTATCAGCCAAATTATTGGCTTGATATGGCCGATTTCCAATATAGTAAATTTTCTTTATACCAGTGCCGATCCAATATCGGACCGATGTATCAGTGCACCTCTAGTTACAAGTCAACCGCCGTAAGCTCACAAGGATCATTTCTGGTGCGTTCATTGTTAAATATTCTGGTTTCAAAATTTGTTTTTATGCTAAAAGCAAATGTATTAAAAGCATAAATGCTTCTTGGAAAAGACATCCTGCTGGCTCAGAGCACAGCACATGGCATGAGCATATGCTGCAGATGGAGAGATACATGAAATGCTTTTGAAGTGCCATGTGCATTAATAATATTACACAAAGACCGGGAATGGAGTCCCTCTCCAGAAGAATTAATCACGTGCACATGCAGCCTAGTCCATTACCTCAGAGAGTCCCTTTCCTGTTAGCTGGAAAACACCAGTTTTCTGGGCTGTCTCCAGGTGGGCTTTTAAGGCACTATTTCCCATCCTGCTGGTCCTGTTCCAATGATTTTGAATTCTGTTTAAAAGGCTTGGTGCTCCCAGGGTTGCTGCACTGGATCACATGAAACCAAACTGCCTACTAGAAATAAAATGTACATGTTAATCCCAGCTTCTCAGTACACGCTGCACGTCATGCCTCACACACACTTCTTAGTGAAACATAAATCTTAACTGGATTAACCCAAGCGACTCTCCGGGCTGCAAGCAGAGCTGCTGGCCAGGAGGCTTGACAGTGGGGCCGGGAAAAGTCACAGTCACAGAGAAGTGAGGCTGGAAGGGAGCTCCAGAACTCATCTAGCCTGAGGCAGGATTATCCCTACCCAAACCATCCCACCTGAACTCAACAGAGCCCTCAACCCTGACACAACACGCACCCAACACCCTCAGCCCCGCAGAGGGGGAGGGAACCGGGGCAGCCTACGCCCTGCTGCTGCAAAGGAGGTCAAAGTATGCCAAGAGGCACAAGGCAAAGGCCCACCCCCAGCTACAGAGGAAAAGCAACCAACACCCCAACCCCCGCCGTGCCAATCAACCACGGGGAAAATTCCTTCCCGACCCAAATGCAGCCCTGGTGGGGGGAGGGGGAACCAGACCCCCTAGCCAGGAGCCTCCGGAGCTGGTCCCAGCAGGATCCTGGTGCAGCAACACCCCGCGCCTCTCGCGTGCAGTAGCAGCAGCGCCGTCGGGCGCAGCCGGGTGAGGACCCGGACGACCCTTCCCGGACCCTCCCGCCTCGCCCGAGCTGGAGCCGCCCCGCCAAGCAGCACCTCTAACCCCTCATCACCCTCCTCCTCCGAACCACAGAGTGGCC